TCTATTTTCTGACCATGAAAATGCCACCTTACAACAATTAGCTCTTGTGTTGACAGAAAGTTAACTAGTAGGTTTGCTGTATAAGTTAAACCATGTCACAACAACTGTTAAGTTAGCTGAAAGGTCTATGCACCGTACAACAACCAAATAACCCTAGTAAACTAGAAGGTGAACCATTCAATAGGTTTACTATACCTATTTGATCGACTGGTCTATGATTCAATGAAGACGGAGCTCCGTTTTATGCATTGAATCAAAAGCATTGGCTATGGTAAGTTTTACCCCGTCTGTAACCAATTTTCCAATTTTTTACATAAATTCCAACTACATGCATCATTGTATCATGCATTAAGTACATAATAACATATAGATGAAATGGTATATAAGAATGAGTTTAGCTCAGTACTCGTAACAATGAGCATATATTAATACGATACCAAACAGAAATGAAAATCATCCATAATTTAAGAGAGATATAAATATTAAAACATAGATAAAACATTAGCATTTCCATAATACAAACAACATTACACATGTCTTCACCCTTTACTAAAGAGTATAAATGGACTTACACATCATTGTTATAGACAAACAAGAAGGGCAAGACAATCCCATTACAAAATAAATCAAAAAAAAAAAAATCCTTCCCCAAGAAATAGTTGAAATACCCTCACTTCTATTACCAACTAGGGAAAAAAAGTGAGAGATTCAATCCTCCAAGTAAAAAGGATGTAAAAAAAAATGTAGAAGAACATAATTTTTGGCTTGAAATGTTTAGGGTAGGGTATTTCTTCTCTCGGACTTTGGCTTGTCAAAGGTGGAAGACTCTCCTTCAAAATGACCCGAACACACCTATTTATAGGCTCGAATGGAGGGTTTAAGGCAGCAGACACTCAAGTTAGCCAATCAGGGCTTTTTGTTACGTCAATGAACCAATAGGAAAAGAAGAGGAGGCAAGGCGGTTAAGGCCATTGTCCAGATGCCACCACTACTGTTCTGACTGTGTTAAGTCTCTGGTCTTTTGAATAGAAGCCACCTTAGTTGACTTGTTGACCTTGGGCACCATTGGAATGGTCCTCTTAGCATCCGAATGATGCCTCAATGCTGATTTTTTCTTTTTTTTTTCTTCTTTCTTTTTCTTTGCACTTTTAGCCCTCTAATTCTCCATAATTGCATACACAACCCTACAAAATAAAGTTTTCGCACATTAGGTTTAAATACTATTTAAATCAAACCTTTTAAACTTTTTAACGCACACAATTAACCCTAAATCCTAATTTTTTTATGCACTTTTTAGGGTTAAACATACTCCGAAGATCGTATGGATTTCTCCCAGAGGTTTCTGCTGCTCCCCCTCATCCTAGTTGCGAACTAGTGGTGAGGTGTGTCCTCTGCCTACCACATATTACTGTAGTTGGTCTCGTTGTATAAGGTCCTCAATTTGCTTCTTGAGTTCGAAGCAGTCGTCAATGTCGTGACCATGGTCGCGATGAAAGTGATCATACTTGTTTGGGTTCCTACGATTTGGAGCAAATTTCATTTTTCTTGGCCTTGGCCAATGCACTACATAGTCATCCTGAATTTGGAGCAAAATATACTCAACTGAGGCAATGAGTGGCATGAAGGCTTGCCACTCCCTCTGAGGTGCAAGGCCAAGGCGATCCTTGATTGACACCCTCTTGATCCTTCCCTTCTTATTCTTAGTTTCTCTTCTGTCTTCACAAAGCTCTTTCAAGTTCTCCCCTCCACATGAGGGCTCACCCCCGCTTGGCCTTGGTAACGTCCTCAACGTTAATGTATTTTTGGGCATTTGATAGTAATTCTGGCATGTTTTTTGGCGGTTTATTTAAAATTGAGAACATAAAGTTGGATGAATGCAAACCTGCAATAAAGGCAGTCATGGTGACTTTGTTATATGGCTCTTTGATTTAGAGAATCTCCTCATTAAAATGAGTAAGGTAACTCCTTAGGCATTCGTCCTGGTCTTACTTGATGCTAAGAAAATGGGTGACAGGCTTCTAATGCCGGCATCCCCCTATGAAATGGGAGACAAATGATTTTCTCAGTTTGGGAAAAGAATTCATGGATCCTGGTGTGAGCTTGGGGAACCAATTACATGTAGACCCCTTGAAGGTAGTGGGGAAAGCCTCGCACATAATCTCTTCTAGTATGTTGTGTAACTGTATAAGTGATTTGTAAGTGTCAGAATGGTCCAGTGGATCTTTTGAACCGTCAAACACTTCCATTGTCAGCATTCTGAACTTTGGAGTTAGGGGTTAGTTGGCCACATTGGCTACGAATGGGGTGTCGGTGCGCCTTACAAGGTGCTCAAATGTTTCTGGTTCTCTCGCCTTCATGTCATTGAAGATGTCACCAATTTGATCTTGCACTTCCTTGATCTTCTCATCCTAGTGGTTGGGGACGCCTTCTGATTTGTTGTAATAGCTTTCATGGTCTATACAGGTTTCCCCCTCGCTTTCTTGGAATGGAGGGTCATTGGGATGGGAAGATTGAATAGGCACAAGAGGAAAAGGAGCAGGCGCACATTGAGGTGAGGTGCCTTTCACGAGGTGGGGGCAAATTGGCGCCCTTGGCCCCTAGGGCACTACGCCTTCTTGCCACTAGGGTACTGCTCCTCTTGGTTACTAGGGTGTGGCACCTCCTAGCTGCTGGGGCATGATGCCTATTTGGGGCATGGCTTGCTTAGTAAGCATCAATTGGAGGATTTATTGGTTTTTGTTCACCAATAACCTTGTGGTTTCTAGTAATTTTGCTTCAGCAACGGGGTTTGTAGGCAGGGGTAAGACCTCGTCCTGACATGATTGATCATTTTTTGTTGATTCACAACTCTGATTGTAAATGATGATAAAAATGTGAGTATAAAGGGGTGAAAACTAAGTCATTATGCACAAAAGTGTTTATGTAAAATCAATCAATGGATGAAATAAGAAGGGCTCAACACAAGCAAACACAAAGATTAGGTGGATTCGGTCTGGATGACCTACTCCACCAAGAAAGGCTACGGTGGTCGAAGAATCTTATTGCTCAAGAATATAGTGTACTGAAATGTCTGTGATGTCCCTCATGTGTAGGTGGGGCTTACAATTTATGGGCAAGAGAAGTTGGCTCTGAAGGGCCCTAATTGAGACGATATCGTTACAAAAAGTGGGGTGATGTCGTGAATCTTACCTTATCCTTGTAATGGGCGACGTGATAGAAGGGTGATCCTTTGTAGCTCGCTCTACCTTGTAACAGACGAGGTAACCTTGTGAGGCTAACAATGTGTCCCTAATGACTGTGTACCGATTTCTTCTCCTCGGATGAAGACTTCTACGTGAGTTGATAATGGACTGAGCCTTTTAGGAAACTGGACTTGGCCATATACCAATTGTGAGTGGGCTTTTGTTGTTCTGCATCTCTAATTTTGGTCTGGTCTGAATCTCTGAGCTGGGCCTGATTTACATCTCTAATTTGGGCTTAGTCTAGGCTAGTTCCGTCAAAAATCACAAAGAACATGACTAAAAAAAATCAAAACAGTTACTAACTTTTGATGCAGTGTATTGCTTTAATTTCAACACAAAATAAAGCATGAACAATACAAAATTTGTTACAGTAAATCACAGAAATTCTACACCAAAAACTTGTCTATTTCAATTAAAAATTCAATCAACAAGACCCAAATACAAGGGAACTAGATCTGAAATTTTTGCAACAAATACCCACAAGTATTATAGATTTATGGATTATATTATTGTAAATTTATGGATTATATTTTGATTACGTGTAGTATATATTTTCATTCATTACAAACTTAATGATGAGCTATTAAATTTGAATTTAGTTAGATAAGTTCATTTTTTAATTAGTTATGGATAGATTTCTTGTAAAAAAAATCAACACTGGAAAAACTGCCTTTTAGTTAAGAAATATATGATCTTTTGATGTGAAGTATTTTTTATTGCCTTATTTATACATCGCTCATATATGAGTTGCACATTTAAATGATATTTTTTTTATGGAACTGTACATAAAAAAAGTTTATTAAGAATATACATTTTGATGAAAACATGTTGCATTTATAGTTTAAATTTAAGAATTTTAGATTGCCCCAACTTAAAACAAAATCCTAGCTTCTCCCCTGGTCTCTAGGGTTGTCAATCGATCAGATGTTGATCTGTCCAAATTCGAATTCAAAAAAAATCGAATTTTGAATATGATATGTTTACTTGACGAATTTCAAATTCTTAATATATATGTCTGCATCCATTACTAATTGAATCTCTGATTTGTTTATTCGGCCTGATTTGAATTTTTGAATCTCAACAAAAATTTATAAAAAATTAATAATTTTATTAAATTTAAGTTAACTTCCAACTTAATTTAATCGATCAATCATTCTATTTAATATTTTATGTTTAATTTTATGTCAATTTTATTAATAATCTAAGTAAGCATTTATATATATGTATATACAATAAATTTTCTCAATTAAATATATATGTATGAATATATGTGTATATATGACGGATGAAATTTATTAAATTTAAATTCATTTAAAAAAACTTTACTAAATTTTAATTAAATTTAAATATTTATTTAATAAAATACATAGCAACTTGAATTTTTATCTCTACATATTTTTCCTCTTAAAAATATCACATCACTCATTTCTATCATATACTTAATTATTTATATATTTTCTCCTAAAAATATCACATCATTATTTTATATTGGATGTTTAATTATTTAATATTTAATTAATTTTTAGTTAATATAATTTTTATTTTAAATATTATTTATATACGATAATATACACATGTTAAAAAATTTTAATATAATAAATTAATTTTTTAAATATTCTAATTTTATATTTTACTTTTACTTCGTGCACAAGTTATAACTAATTAGTTTATATCCAAGTAAATTGACTCGAATTCATCGAATTATAATCCCCTTGTCCCTTAGATTAAATGAAGTGATCACGAAAATCGCACCTGTATGACTTTTTAGTTTCTAGACCTTTCTCGTCGGGTCGTTCATCCTATACCATCTACTTTCCCCAAGTCTCAGTCCCAACCTTCACTCTCGCAGTGCCGCCGCCGCCACCACCATAACCATTCCATGGCCACTGAAGACACCTCTCGCCACCTCAAAATCATAGCCGGAGCCGACTCCTTCGGCTGCGCCCTCAAAGACACCCTTGTTACCCACCTCCGTTCCCTCAACATCGACGTCGAAGACTTAGGCACCGACAAATATTACATCGCCGGTGAAGAAGTCGGACGCCGTGTCAGCTCCGCCGCTAACACCAACTCCTCCGTCGAGATCCGAGGCCTTGTGGCCTGCGGCACCGGAGTGGGAGTCGGCATGTTCGCCAACAAGTTCCCCGGCGTTTACGCCGCCACCTGCCTCACCCCCTCTGATGCCCTCAATGCTCGATCCATCAGCAACTGCAACGTCCTCGCCGTCTCCGGTATGTCCACCTCGCCGGACTCCGCCATCGAAATTCTCGACACCTGGCTCAACACCCCCTTCAAATCCCCTTGCCCCGCTTCAGGTTCCAAACCTTGGCCCCCAGAAATCAACGATTTCTTGGACAATTCAATCCATGAAATGTCAAAAATTGGAGTAGAAAGCAACAAAGAAAATGACAAGAATGAAGAGAATTCTATTGACCCTTGCTTTCTCTGTTGTTTGGCGAAAAATAGAGAGTTCACTCCAATCGAAATCATGCCTGGTGGGCATATGAAGGTGATTAGAGAGACACCCACCTCGGCAATTGTGAGGTTTGAGGCTGGGAGTGTTGAACCGGCGCATCATCATACGTTTGGGCATGATTTGGTGGTGTTGAAGGGGAGCAAGAGGGTGTGGAATTTGAGCAAAGGGAAGAAGTATGATCTAGGTGTGGGGGATTACTTGTTTACTCCTGCTGGGGATGTTCATAGAGTGAAGTATTTTGAAGAAACGGAGTTTTTCATCAAGTGGGATGGGCATTGGGATTTGCTCTTGGATGAGGATCTTGCTACTGCCAATGCTGCGATTGAGAAAGAGATTTGAGTTGTGGGTCCGTGTGAAATTGCGGGTATGTTGTGACACAACCTTTAAACTTTCAAAAAACTTGTGGTATGTAGCCTCAGCTATGGTGCTTTTCAGTTTGGCTGTGAACTTTTGTATTATTTTTGTTAGTTGTGTTTTTATGCATGTTTATATGTTTCAATAGAGTTAGTCCTTTGTATGCATCAACTTTAATATGAATGAAACTCTGTTCTGTTTATGTCTAAACAACTTTTCTATGTTAGAGTTTGCATCTAACTGAACAATGATGTTAAGTAGGGAGAAGTACTTTGTCATTAGGAACACAAGATGGGTGAGAATGAAGTATTTTTGAAACGAGATTTGAGAGTTGGAGAGGCTTCTCAGTGAGAGGTAGATGATGGATGCATTGGGATGTCTAATAAAATTTTTAATTCTTAGCTGTTAAACTAGAGATAGATTGGGATGTTTTGCTTCTTTTGTTCTATTTAGCGAGCAAATTTCCCCAAAATTAGTGCAGTTGTCTCTAATTGTTATCTCTTCTTTGTTGAACTTTGGCGGAGGACTTAACCATTGGATTGTTTTGTATTGTACGCAAATTATTATTTTGTGTGGCTGTGCAAATTTGGCATGAGAAGTCTCACCTTCTAGTGTATCTTTTTTGTCCTTTGTTTGTTTTTCCTTCATGTATAATTTCGCTTCTTTATATAACATGTTATCTATGAAAACTTCAGCATGAAGGCTGGATTGTTTTCTTTGTGTGTAGTTAAGTCTGTTCCTTTGTCTTTCTTCTCAAATGTTATACCCATCTTTGTTTGATGTAGAAGTTAATCTTTGATTGGTAAGGCTTCAATTTAGATTTAAACGCCTGGTGAATGATTTTGAGAACTTATATAAAATATGCTGGATTGTGAGTTGTACTGTGGCAATTTATCCTAGAAACTTACATTCAAGAGAGAGAGAGAGAGAGGGAGGGAGGTAGGATCTGAATTTTCATCTTTATTCCCCACCGGTTACCAAATGTATGAATTCAGTTTAACATGGTGTGAAATGACGGGATAAAAGCTGTTATCATTAGATGGTGTATCGTATGTCTGGGCTCCATTTGGATGCGGTTAGTTTGGTAGTTGGCAAATTCCGGCCATGCATTGCTTTCGACAGAATGTATGTGTTGAGGTATTAAAGCATATGCCCATAAAATGAATTAAAAAATAGAAATTAAATTGGTTTCCTTGCATGATGTTTTGCACAAAATAGACTCGATCTTCTTGGAGGTAACATTATATATTATTAGGTTGGTGGCTTCTCTGCTATCAATGAGACTGATTTGTCTCTAAGATTCAAATTCTCTTGTTTGCTTTGCTGCTTTTCTTTTCCCTGGTCCTCATTGTATAAAAATTCTTGGGTGCACCAATAATTTAAATGAGTTTCCTTGTTGGGTATATAGTATAAATTCATGATTTTCTAATCAATGTCTGACTGATCTGTTTTTCATTTTTCAAGATTTTTTCTTCCCTAAAATCGCTCTTTAGGCTGTTCGGTTATTTTATATCTTAATTAAGTGATGTAGGAGAAGTGTGGGGAACGCTGACAAGTTTTGATGTGAAAATTTGACAATTAGTAGGATATAAAGTTGGATGGATTGAGTGGTTGGGCACTTTAGTTAAATAATGTTCAATAAAGTCGTGAAAGTACACAAGTTGATAAAAGAAGAAGAGTAAGAATGAGACAAAAGAAGTGATGTGTCACACCCTTGTAAGGGTTTTAAGCACTCAATTGTAGTTCTTCATTGTTAAGTTGAGTGAATTAATATAACACAATATTAGAGAGAAAGGAGAGGTTAAAAACTTAACCTAGCTTTCATATATCATTTGTATTTATAGTGAACCTACAGTAATACGAATTACACATACACCCTTTTACTATTGACACTTTGCACATACTACCCTATTATTCTTAACATTTTTTCTCAAGTTGGACTATATATATCATATAATCCAAGCTTGGAACAAATAGCTGTAAGACGTGTATGATTCAATGCTTTGGTAAACATATCTGCAAGCTGATCTTCAGAATTCACAAATGGAGTTGTAATCTCCCTAGCTACTATCTTGTCCCAAATAAAGTGACAATCAACCACAATATGCTTGGTTCTCTCATGAAACACAGGATTGACAGCGATATGGATAGCTGTCTGGTTGTCACAGAATAACTATAAAGGAAGTTGAACTGGAAACTCAATTTTCTAGAGGAAGTGTTGTAGTCAAGTCAACTCACTCGTCGTATGTGTCATTGCCCTATACTCAGCTTCAGTACTGGATCTTGCTACCACGGGTTGTTTTTTACTTTTTCATGAGACAACATTACCTCCTAAGAAAGTGCCATAACCAGTAGTTGATCTCCGATCAGAAGGAGAGCCAGCCCAATCAGCATCTGAGAAACCTTCCAATTAGCTCGATGGAGCAATCCAAGTCCAGGAGCTCGTTTGAGATATCGTAGAATACGAGTAACTGCTTACCAATGTGGTACTCTAGATGATATGGGCACTTTAGATGATAGGCGAGGATGGCGAGAGTAGACACGGAGAGGTAAAGTAGATGGTAACACAGTGGACAGCGGAATATCTGATGTTGATATAGGAGAGGATCCAAATTCCAAATACAAAGGCTGAGAAGGTGCTGGAAAGTATGGAACAAATTCTTCAAATGTGACATCGCCACTAGTAAAGTATCGGTGCAGAGAAGGACTGTAGCAATGATACCCTTTCTGCGTGCGAGAGTAACCAAGAAATACACATTTTGGTAGCTCGAGGGTCAAGTTTGTCAAATCTAGGACCTAAATTGCGAACATAAAAGACACAACCAAAAACCTTAGGAGTCAGAGAAAATTAGGACTTACCAAGAAATAGAACAGAATATGAACTTTGCCTATTTAACACAGAGGAGGGCATACGATTAATAAGATGACAAGCAGTAAGAACAGTATTACTCCAATAATATCGGGGAATATTGATCTGGAATAACAGGGCACGGGTGACTTCCAACAAATGACGGTTCTTGCGTTCAACAACATCATTTTGTGGAGAGGTGTAAGTACAAAAAGTTTGATGAATAATGTCGGTTTTACTAAGATAAGCTGAAAAGGATCAGATTTATATTCTCGAGCATTATCGGAACGTAAAGTACGTATACGACAACCAAATTGAGTTTTTATTTCCTTACAAAAAGTCTTAAATATAGAGAATAATTCAAATCGAGTTTTCATCAAAAATAACGAAGTCACACGAGAATATACATCCATAAATGTCACAAAATAAGGATATTTATTAGATGAAATATTATTTATTGGATCTCATACATCAGAATGGACTAATTCAAATGGACTAGACACACGATTATTGACTTTATACTGAAATGACACACGGTGATGCTTACTAAGTTGACAAGCTTCACAAGACAAAGACTACACATAACTAAGATTGGGAACTTGACGCTTTAGATTCTTAAGAGAGGGATGTCCAAGAGGACAATGCTATTGAAAATGAGACAATGAGGTCTGTAGAGCTCGGATAGGTGAATCAAAGTCAAGGTAATATAAGCCACCAGTTTCATGCCCCGTACTAATCTTCTTCTTCGTCTTGAGATCTTGAAAGACACAAGAAGGATAAAAGGTTACAGGACAATTGAGAGAACAAGTAATCTTGTTAATGGAAAGTAAACTAAAAGGAAACTGAGGAACAAATAACACGGAAGATAGAGACATATCAGGACTCAAGTGAGTAGTCCCCAGACCTGAAACTCTAGAACAAGTACCATTAGCAAGAGTAATACTACGTGTGGAAGTAGGAGAATATTAAGTAGAGAAAACATCAGACGCACCAGTCATGTGGTCAAAGACGCTAGAGTCTATAATCCAAGGACTGCGAGTGGAGGATAATAAATAGGTGGAAGCAGTACCTGACTAGGCAAAAGTAACAGTGGAGGGAGATGAAGCCGCCTGTTGCTGGGACAGGAACTGAACATACTCCTCTCGACCCAGTGTAATAGTAATTGACCCAGTGTCTGGTGGAGCTGATCGAGGTATGGAAGCAACAACAGAGGTAACATCCTAATAAGAAGCCTGATTAGCAGTACTAGAAGGTTTTCCATGTAAATCCCAACAGAAATCAACAGTATGTCCTCCATGGCCACAGTGAGTACAGGAATGGGATCCACTATGACCCCCACGACCACTTATACGACCTCCCGTATGACCTCTGCGACCACCACGTCCACCTCGATGACCATCACTATAGCTATTAGGAACCACAAGAGCTGAGCGATCAGTGGAGACACCATGATCAATGACTGAAGGAGTAGACATTATAGCACGCTATAAACGAGAAAAAACCTCCAGCAGTGATGGAAGACTAGATTCACCCAAAATCTAAGAACGAATAGCCTCATTCAGGTTTCAATCCTACACAAAATCTAACAACTTTCAGGTCCTCATGTTGTTTTTGCCAAACTGCTGCATCAGTAGTAAACGGATGATAAGTCTTCATCTCCTCACAGACTCCTCGAACATGAGAGTAATAATCTGCAAGGCTCAGAGTACCCTGTTCCAACTGGAAGTACTCTTTGCACACTTCATACGCACGGGTAAAATTATCTATACCAGAGTATTTCGTGGCCAGGTAATCTCATATCTCTTTGGTAGTATCAAGATAGAGCAGAGAGGAGCTAATACTGAGCTCTATGCTATTCAACAACAAAGAAATAATCTGAGCATCCTCTTGTTCTCACTGATTATATCTAGGAGTGTCTTCCTTGAGTTTAGAATCCACTAGATATTTCTTAAATCCTTTGCCTCGAAAAAAAACTTGAACAGATCGGGACCATAAAGTTTAATTAGTCCTATTAAGTTTGACAGAGGTCATGAGACCATTGATAAGAGTTAGAAAAGACAAAGATGGAGTAAGATACCTGATATCTTGCTTGAGTTCCATAATAATTCAGCAAATAGTAAACAAGAAGAGTTATAATGCTGAAGTAGAGAAAAAGAAACTGCTAAAAGGCTAAATTGGGCTGGAAAAGATAGCTGGATCACTGAACCGGGTTGGACAAGGTTGCTGGAACACTGAACCGGTTCGGTTTAGCCCTCTGGAGCATTGAACTGGTTCGGTTTGGCTTACTGGAGCACTGAACCAGGCCAGTTTAGCTTGTTGGAGCACTGAACCAGGCTGAACCGGTCTGAGATTAGTCTGGACCGAACCAAACAATGGATTGAGTTAGATTTGGGTTGACCCGAAGTGGATCGGGTTGGGCTGTTTCTTCTTCGCTGGTTAGGGTTTTAGAAAACCCGCCTGCGCCTCACCACTACGCCTCACCACCGACTATACGAACCACCACAACCACGAACTGACCATAGTAGCCACCACAACAGCCACCACAGACCACGCCATCACAACCACCACCACAGACCACGCCTCACCACCACAACAGCCACCACAAACCACAGCCACACCATCACGACCACAGCGGCCAAACAACAGCAACCACCACAACAGTAGTTTTATTCAAAATATATATTTATGATTGTATATTGCTCTGATACCATGTTAAGTTAAGTGAATTAACATAACACAAT